GTACATATTTGATAAAATTACTATAGTCAAACAAATTTACCTTTGACTAATTTGATGGATGTGAAAGAAGATGATGTTTTAATTTTCATTTTCTAAATACTGTGAAGGTTGAATACTTTTTATGTGTTTGTTCGTCACTTTCATTTCCTGTCCATTTGTTTCCTTCGCTTATTGGGTTGTTTCTCTTTTCCTGAAATTCAGTCATTGGTGGATTATATATGCTGCAATTATTTTCTCTATGTATTTCCATTTTTTTTTAATGTAGGATTTTGGTCTGTCCTGATCCTTCTGCCTTATCCTCCTGTGAAGCTGGAATTATAGGCACATGCCACCTCACTTGGCTTTAGGTTGAAACTGGAATTGAACCCAGGCCTCCCATGTGGACCTGGCCTGTGGAGTGCGGGTTCTTAGCAGTGTATGTCACCATGCCTGGGCTTTTTTTTTTCTTAGGTTATTTTTCACAGGAATTTTAAATGTTGGTGTGGTCAAATATGTCAGATTTTTTTCTTTTATGATTTTTACTTCCTGTGTTTTTAAAGAAGAGTTACAGTAATTTTAAAATGAGCTTTAAAAAAAAACTTTAGGCTACCTCTAAGTCTATCTGTAAATAGTTTTTGTGTATGGTATGAAACAGAGGCCAACGTTTATTTTTTCTCATATAGGTAGCCAATACTAATATTATTATTATTATTATTTTAGTATTATTATTTTTTTTCCTCTAGCAATTTGAAATATCATGGTTTTCTGTATGTCAACACTTCACAAGTATCTGGCTCTATTTTTGGATTATATTCCATTTTATCCCACCCCAGTATCCACTGTCTTAATAACTATGGCCTTATAATATGTGTTACTGTTCCGTAGAGGTTAGCTGTTAGTGTGGTAATTAGGATGGTTGGATTCCACATGGCTAACTGTGCAGTTCGAGTTCTGAACCCAGCGTCTTGAAAAACATGCCAGACACGTGTGCATGTGTGCCCCAAATCCCAAGACAAGAATGGAAAGAAGGAATTGCAGCATTGGTCATCTTCCATCTTCCCCAGGAGGTACTTTCTCACATTCTCTCTCTATCTGGTGAGTGCACTCACCTTATAGCAGAATTTAAAAACAAAAACAAAATAAAAAATTCAGTAGTAATATTTAGCCTACGCTTTGTTCCTCTTTATGAAAATTTTGTTTACTAACTACTCCTCCACACTTACTTTTTAGAATTAGTTTATTTCATTACACACAAAAAATTATTGGATATTTTCTTTTACTTTTATTTTTTGGAGAGATTTTTTGCCATAGGGTGTGTGCATTCACTGGAGAGACAGAGAGATGGGAAGCGAGAAATCACCCCCAGGGCGGATGGCCATGCTGCAATCCCTTCTCCTTCATTCTTCTCTTGGGATCTTGGGTATGCATGCACATGCACCCCATGTGAGTTTGGACTCCAAACATGTTTGATTATGTGGGAGTCCAACAACGTAACCATTGCACCATCTGCTGGTCCCAAATTATGGGAATTTTTGATGGATATTTAAGGTAAATGTAAAAAATACAAGATTATATTATTGTTTATTCCTAAGCCTTTAAAATGTGTTATTTTATAGTCACTATGTATTCTTCTTCTTCTTCTCCTCCTCCTTCTTCTTCTATGTTTTTTTGTCAGAGAGCACGTGTGCTCACCAAAGAGAGACAGAGAGAAAGGGAGAGGGTGAAAGCACCTTTCGCTGGTCATGCATTATCCTCTTTCTCCATCCTGTCAGGACCCAGGGCATACATGCATATGCACCTGGTATGTCTCTCACACTACTGGGGCAGGACTAAAGCCTTGTCAGCCATGTGGGATCCATCTTTCTTAACCTCTAGGCTATGGGCTGACCCTCCCTATATGTTATTCTTATTAGACAAAGAGGAGGGTAGATTCAAAGTCTTTGGGACCTAACATCTATACTACTGAAGAGCCCTCTTTAAGCAAAAGAATGCAAAATTCTGAATGCTCTGCATTGGGAGGGGTCAGTGCGAAGAGGTACCTGAACCTGTAGCTTTGTTAGTGGCATGGTAAACACACTTAGGATAAGTAGTCTCACTAAGAAAGTCCTGGCAAGAAAGTCCCACTAGAATAAACCAATAGTTCATGTCTTCTAAGCTACTTAGCTGGTGTAAGCCATAAAACAACAATTAAATTTGAGCCTCAGTCATGTTTTGAGTTGTGTGTTACATAATACCACTGCTTCGACTTTTCTGGGATAGCATCTCACATTTGAGGATCTCAGAGCACATTGTGAACATTATCTAATTAAACCTCACAAACCCCCAGAGACTCTGGAAAGGGAGATATAACATCACCTCACCCAGCTCTGAAATGCAGCCACCTCTGGGGAAGAGCGAGGCAGCTGCTTAATAGTCATCGGCAACACCTCATGACAGTTTAGCCAAGACAATTAGGCATTGTAGTTGGTAATTGTCTCATGATCATTAGACCATCACCAAGATTATTAGTTCATTGCAAATCCAATCCATTCTTTAAGATTTATTACTTCTTAGAAATGTTGTTCCGATTATAAAAATAAGTATACACACAGTGAAGGTCTACTTTTCTTTTTGTTGTGTTTTCTTTGTAACTTTCAAATTCAAAACTTAAAATAGGAAAGAACTTAAGAATGAGAAGTTATTGATGTAAGTGATTTTATTTTTTTTTAATTCAAAAGTTTGCTGCTGAGCAAAACTAATTAAGGACTGTTTGAGTCACAATAGTGGCAGAATTTGAGAGGTGTCTTAACTGGACAGGGATATTAGGAAAACTTTTGGCTGCTGAAAGTGTTTTTATTGGGTTCTGTTGTTTGTAACTAAACACTAGCGGATAGATTGATCATCGTATCAACGTATATTATTTTAGTACATTTTCTGCTGCTACAACAGTACCACAGACTGGGTAATTTATAAAGAGCAGAAGTTTACTTGGCACATGGTTGTGGAGGCTGTGAAGTCCAAGAGCGTGGAGTCCATATTTGGTGAGGGTCTTCTGCTGTCATAACATTGTGGAAGGGCAAGAGGGTACATGAGACAGAGAGGGAGTAGGAGCCAAGCTTTTGTTTTATCAAGAGCCTGTTCTCACAACAGCTAACCCTCTTCCATGATAAAATGGCAGTTATATTCACGACAACAGAGCCCTCATGACCTAATACTGTTACAATGGAGATTAAATTTCCAACACATGGAATCTGGGAGACACACTCAAGCCATAGCATATATTCATTTAATTGGTTGTTACATGGATACAGATGTTACGTAGAAATTAACCAAGCGATATCCTTTTTCCATATATGTGTTGCATCTCAATAGCAAAATGAATTAACTTTAAAAGCTAAATGCTGCTGTCATCCTTACGTGGAATCCAGAAACCCAATAAAAGCTATCTGGAAAATTTTACAGATTCAGGACATACTCAGGAACTCAATATGTAATATGTTTTGTTTTCCTTGAAGCATCTTCCTTCAGAAGAGGCATTCTAAGCCCATGTTCATCTCTTCTTAGGCCATGTTGTCTTTGGGCAAAAAGAGCTACTGTTACGCTAGGATGTGATTCTCTGTCCACTGTACCTTCAACATTGTGTAACCTCCAACTGCTCTCTCACCTCCCCAGACATAATTTTACTACTAGTACTTCATCCACTCACACTTTGCTGGAAGTAGGTATAAGGCATTAGTGATCCTGTAATTCGGGGCTGAGAGGTACCTGTGGGGACTGTTGCCGTGGCTGGTGCTAGAGCAACACAGTGAGAGAGGAGGGAGCAGAGAGGATCTGGGGCTGCCTGTGGTCCTGCCCTACAGTGTGATGTGCTGGTTAAAAACAAAAAGGCAGAGCAGTGGGCTATGCCAGCAGCCGCTGTCTCTGGAGCCTCCAGTGGGCCCGCATCCCTCCTGCATCTGTAGTGGCACTTCCAAGGAGGGGCAGCTGCTTAGCAGAGCACCCTGGACTGCTCTGAGCTAAAGGCCAAAGTTTGAGAGCAGATGTCATGGAGAAAATCCGCCAGCAGAGCAGGCACTTAGTGAGGCAGAAAGGAGAGCAGGCCTTCCTGCAGCGATGTCCTCTCCCAACCCCCTCTTCAGGCCTGGATATCTTCATGAAAGAGTGGGAGAGGATAGAAAATAAAGGAAGGAGGATGGAAAATGAAAAGAACAGGAAGTGGGAAGAAAAGAGCTTAGACAAATGGGAAATATTTTTTCTATGTCATTTTAAATGAATGCTAAATTTTATTGTTGTCATTGTTATTACCTGATTATTGACTTTCCAGGACATATTAAAATAATAAGGCTTGAGGCCAGCAGCATGGTGGTTAAGGTGCTGGACTCCCACATGGCTGACCATGGTTTGAATCCTGGATTGGGTGGCTTGCTTTCTTAATTTTCCTTTCTCTTGCTCTCTGTTTCTCTGATGAATTAAAAAATAATAATGATAGTAATAAATCAAATAAATTATTCTTTAAAAGAATAAGGCTCAGTTTCAGAAAAGTGGACCTTGTGGCCACTGGTGGATCCAAAGTTCACAGTATTCTCAAACAGAGAAAGCAGCCCCCACGCTATTCCTCTGCGTTTGGGCTGCACTAATGTTGTCTTTTTCAGCTTCTGTCTTAAAGTCATGTAAAAGTCTGCCATTTAGGAAGTTGATAATCAGTTATTTACAAACTTCAAAAGGGGGGACAGTCCTATTAAAGGACCGACAGAGGTCGAGACCACCCCCATGCCAGGCCCAAGCCCATTGCAGAATCTTTCATCTCAACTCTCCTAGGAAGGCCGGTAGCATCTTATCACCATCATGAAATGAGAGTGCAGAGAGCCCAGGAAAGAACTTTCTCAGGATCCTTTGTTCAGGGTCAGAGTGGGGTGGGTCTCCAAAACCCTGCTCTTCCCACCTCTGGAATCCAAGTCCTAAGACACGCCATATACTTTAAATGGAGTTCTGCAGATATTTATCATCTCCTTTCTACCCTTGTTCCGCTCTTTCTCTCAAAGATGCTGAGCTCCGGAGTAACAGCCAGGGTTCCCAGAAAATAATCGAGGCGCTGCTACAGGAATCTGCCTCCCCAGAGGCCATGGAAAACATCCAGGTAAGGGAGACTGTCCCCTTCATGACAGAGATGCCCAGATGGGCCTGGGGGCTCTGCCAGTGCCAGGATCGTTACCAAGAAGTTCTAGCCTCAGATGCAGGAAAGGCCTCTGGATCACTAGAGCTGGGAGCGCAGGCCAGCGGAAGCGAACTCCTACGTGTTTGTAACAAATCACAGCCTCCTGGTCTGCTCTAGAATGCAAGTCAGAACAGAATTTCAGCCCTTCCCTCCCTTCCTCCCTATCCGTTCCCTGGTTTTAGAAGACAGAGGCAGTAGGGCATCCAGACTGTCTGAAATGACTTCCTCAGATGAGGCAGCATTTTTCTTCCTGCCCTGATCGAGCCCTACAAGCTATAAAGTGACCTGCTGGGCTCCATGGAGAGTTGCCCTGGCTAGCTGCTGGGCTCTGCTGCCCCTGCCTGGCCTCAGAGGGACCCCACCCCTGCACTCCCTGGTGGCCAGCGTGATGCTAGCAGAATGCTCTGTGCTGTTCTTCTGCCCTAAACTAGAGGGGGTTTAAACCCACACTAGGAAGCCTAGAATCAGCCATATTATAGATGAGATGGGGTTTGGTGGACAAGCCCAGGAATTCACCTGTCATCCCATCCCTGCCCACCACTGAGCAGTAACGGGGTCACAGCAACGTAAATGTGCCTTTATGTTATGGGTTCTATAAGGCCTTAGCGCACCTCCCTTGTGGCCTCAGGAACATGGCTACTCATGCTCTTTCCTTTTCAGAAGACCTCACCAAGGAGGTATGGTAGGGGTAGGAGAAACACACCCTCCCAGTTTGTGCATTGCCCACCTGTGGCTACATCGGCAGTGCATGGCCAAGTGACCCCTTCAGCTTCTGGTTTCCTGACTGCTCCATCCAGAGCCTGCCCTCTCCCAGGGTGGAGCAGACGTGGGCCCAGTGCCTCCTGGCCCGCTCCCTCCTCTTCTTTCTCCTTTCCTATCTTGCACAAACCAGTGTCCCCTTTGCCCCTCAACTATATGAAGAAAATCTTGGGATGTTCAGGGAGAATTCAGAAAGTTTATGGAAAATGGAATTGAAGTATGAGTTGATCTGAGCCAGCCAATGGCATGGGGATTAAGTTGGCTGGATTCCACATGGCCAACGATACAGTTCTAGTCTCAGGCCTGCTGGCTTGATAAACATGCCGAGCATGCATGCATGTTTGCATGCCTAAAATCCCAAGAGGAGATGGAGAAGAAAGGATTGCAGCATGGCTAACCCCAGGGGCTAGTTCTCACTTCTCCACTCTGGCGAGCACATGTGCCCTATCGCAAAACTAAAAAAAAGAAAAAAGAATGAGTTGATCTTAGTGTACAAAAATGTGAAATCCATAGTTTTTAAAAATGATATGCATTTTCCATGAACCTCTGAAGACCTCTTATAAAGGAGGGAGGAGGACCTGATTCTGGGCATTAGGCTGCCTTCATTGTTCTCTCTGATTTTCTTGCTGTATTTATGAAATATTCTGATTCCCCAAACCACAAAAGGACCCAACTTGTACCCAGCTGGGTGACACATTTTAATTTCATTTATTGAGATATATTCTCTGGTCAGAGATCAGGTGCTTACAGTGACCAGGCGCTCTGTGAGAGGCAGATCTGAGACTGACCTGGTCTCAGCCTTCAAAGGGGTCACAGTGTGGTGGGAAGAGGAGAGTTCCCCAATGAAGTTATGTGGGAAAGCGGATGCAAATCCCTCAGAAGAATGGACCAAGGGGAGACCTGAACCTTTTGAAGAAGACAGGTATATGGCATTGTATGGATTAGACTTAGACTAAGAGAAATGAAACTGGTGAGTGGAATTCAAACAAACAAATGAACAAACAAACAAGAACAGGACTTCTGCTTCTGGCTAAGATGGAGTGATTTACTTCCCTGATTGAACCAACCAAAAAGTAACTGATGCATGAAATAGCATTCTTCAAGATACTGATCACAGAGCCAGCAGGTGGCATGGTGGTTAAAGTGCTGACTCCCACATGGTTGACTGCAGTTCGAATCCCAGACCCATTGGCTTGAAACTCACACTGGGCATGTGTGCCCAAAACCCCAGGAGGAGTAGGTATTCTAGTGTGGCTATCTCCCCTAGGGAGTGATTTCTCACTTTCCCCTCTCATTGTCTGTCTCTGTCTCTCTTCGGCAAGCACATGCATCCTATGTCAAAAACCTAAACAGATGCATTCCTTGGCAAAAACCCAAAAAAAAAAAAAAAAGTTGCTCACCATTGTCACAAAGAATAGCAATACCTGAGAAATGAGAAATAAGCCAAGGGCCTTTAATTACTACCTTGAGAAAATTTCCAGGCCACAGCTCAGAGCAAGAGAAACCAGAGGGCTTTTTGTGTTGAAGAGAGAGCTCTGTAAGTCCATGGAGACTAAAGCCAGTGAAGGTTGCAGGACAGTGTACCAGGAGAGGAGAACTGTACAGACAGATACCACTGATCAGCAGAGGATCACTTGTGTATTCAGCTGAGTAGTGATCAGAGCATGCATGCAAAGAGCTCATTAAAGTCAGACTGAGAAAGAGCCTCCAAAAAGGAGTAGAGTTAATAGTGCCCACAGGCTGTGAATGGTGTCTGTCCCCCCTTCAGCTTCTGGTTTCCTGACTGCTCCATCCAGAGCCTGCCCTCTCCCAGGGTGGAGCAGACGTGGGCCCAGTGCCTCCTGGCCCGCTCCCTCCTCTTCTTTCTCCTTTCCTATCTTGCACAAACCAGTGTCCCCTTTGCCCCTCAACTATATGAAGAAAATCTTGGGATGTTCAGGGAGAATTCAGAAAGTTTATGGAAAATGGAATTGAAGTATGAGTTGATCTGAGCCAGCCAATGGCATGGGGATTAAGTTGGCTGGATTCCACATGGCCAACGATACAGTTCTAGTCTCAGGCCTGCTGGCTTGAGAAACATGCCGAGCATGCATGCATGTTTGCATGCCTAAAATCCCAAGAGGAGATGGAGAAGAAAGGATTGCAGCATGGCTAACCCCAGGGGCTAGTTCTCACTTCTCCACTCTGGCGAGCACATGTGCCCTATCGCAAAACTAAAAAAAAGAAAAAAGAATGAGTTGATCTTAGTGTACAAAAATGTGAAATCCATAGTTTTTAAAAATGATATGCATTTTCCATGAACCTCTGAAGACCTCTTATAAAGGAGGGAGGAGGACCTGATTCTGGGCATTAGGCTGCCTTCATTGTTCTCTCTGATTTTCTTGCTGTATTTATGAAATATTCTGATTCCCCAAACCACAAAAGGACCCAACTTGTACCCAGCTGGGTGACACATTTTAATTTCATTTATTGAGATATATTCTCTGGTCAGAGATCAGGTGCTTACAGTGACCAGGCGCTCTGTGAGAGGCAGATCTGAGACTGACCTGGTCTCAGCCTTCAAAGGGGTCACAGTGTGGTGGGAAGAGGAGAGTTCCCCAATGAAGTTATGTGGGAAAGCGGATGCAAATCCCTCAGAAGAATGGACCAAGGGGAGACCTGAACCTTTTGAAGTGAACAGGTATATGGCATTGTATGGATTAGACTTAGACTAAGAGAAATGAAACTGGTGAGTGGAATTCAAACAAACAAATGAACAAACAAACAAGAACAGGACTTCTGCTTCTGGCTAAGATGGAGTGATTTACTTCCCTGATTGAACCAACCAAAAAGTAACTGATGCATGAAATAGCATTCTTCAAGATACTGATCACAGAGCCAGCAGGTGGCATGGTGGTTAAAGTGCTGACTCCCACATGGTTGACTGCAGTTCGAATCCCAGACCCATTGGCTTGAAACTCACACTGGGCATGTGTGCCCAAAACCCCAGGAGGAGTAGGTATTCTAGTGTGGCTATCTCCCCTAGGGAGTGATTTCTCACTTTCCCCTCTCATTGTCTGTCTCTGTCTCTCTTCGGCAAGCACATGCATCCTATGTCAAAAACCTAAAGAAAAAAAAAAAAGTTGCTCACCATTGTCACAAAGAATAGCAATACCTGAGAAATGAGAAATAAGCCAAGGGCCTTTAATTACTACCTTGAGAAAATTTCCAGGCCACAGCTCAGAGCAAGAGAAACCAGAGGGCTTTTTGTGTTGAAGAGAGAGCTCTGTAAGTCCATGGAGACTAAAGCCAGTGAAGGTTGCAGGACAGTGTACCAGGAGAGTAGAACTGTACAGACAGATACCACTGATCAGCAGAGGATCACTTGTGTATTCAGCTGAGTAGTGATCAGAGCATGCATGCAAAGAGCTCATTAAAGTCAGACTGAGAAAGAGCCTCCAAAAAGGAGTAGAGTTAATAGTGCCCACAGGCTGTGAATGGTGTCTGTCCTTACCAGCCAGACTGGAAAACCTATGACTCACGAGATAGTGTCTTACCTCCCTGCTGTAGACTAATTAGCTCTAGAGGGAGCACTGCTCCAGTTCTGTTTAATATCTTTAGAGCAAGAACCAAAAGGATCAAACTGTTCCCAAGTAACTGAGGCCAGAAAAAAGTTCAAGAATATTCATGGAGGGGCCAGATGGTGGCACGGCAATAATGCAATGCTTTGCAATAATGGACCTACCTAGAAAGGGCTGGAGTTCATGTCTCAAGACCTCCCTGTAGACATGGGTATGCATCCACATGTCCCTGATCCAGGTTGCCTGAGACTGGGATGGATTATAGTGTGAGGACCCTGTGAGAGTACCTGTCTATCCTGCTCTCTTATGGAAGAAATAAATAAGATTAAAATATATATATTTGTATATATATTTGTATCTAGCATCTAATTAGATACAATTCACAATGTTTTGAATTCAGTAAAAAATTCCAGGCTCTCAAAAATTGAGTATATACGATGCATAAAGTGGAGATGAATCAATAATTTGAAACCAACTCAGATCTGAAACAGAAGTTAGAATTGGAAAGAATATAAAATATAGTTGCAGTCATTATATTTCATAAGTCCCAGAGATTAAGGAGAGATACAGAAGACATAAAGCTCTACCAAATCAGACTTCAAG